TTGAGTGTCTTTGTGCACTTCATCCTGTCCGGCAAATGTTGATTTCCTTCCTTCTGTTTCTCTCCCTGGCCTCCCTTCAAATGGTTTTTCTTTCCTTTGTGGTGAGGCTCTTTTGTTTAATTTCAAGAAAATATTTCATTTATTGTTGGCCTTCATAATCAGAGCATTCTTTGATTCTCTGGCTACAAGGCAGTTTGGTTTCCTTTTCGGAAAGGGTCTTTTGAGGGTGTTGTGTGGCATTTGGTTGAGAGGACCATGTGGGCCGCTGGGGCAGTAGATCGATTGATTCCCAGGCCCTACCGTGCCGGGGCCCAGGGCTGGTACAGCAGAGAGCCTTTCTGTAGCAAACCAGCCTGCCCTCCAGGCCTTCCCAGCCAACACCAGGTAATTTCAGATGACAAACTCCAAATTATTTAAGGGTTGGAAAGCACTGCCTTGGTTTCTAAATGCCAGTCTGTGGCCTGGCTGCTGTAGAAACACCTGGGCAGGATTTACCTATGGCTTGGCCACCAGAGTAAGTCATTACTTTGGTGGAAAAAGACTGAAGGAAACATCAACTCACTGTTTCTTTGAGGCTGTACATAGGATTACAACTAATTTTCTGCTCTGTAAGTTCTTATAGTTTCCAGGATTTTTTTCAGCAATTAATACATGAATTGCTCTGATTACTAAAATATATGATAAAAGATGACTCAGATGTTTAAAATGTCACCCAGGGAGTTTGTTCAAAATACAGGTTCCTGGACTCCTTCCCTGGAGATTCTGACCCATTTGGTCTGCATGGGCAAATTTACAATAGTCCCTCACTTAGTTCTGTTGACACAGTGAGGCTTGAAAACCACTGGTCTAATCCAACACCTTCATTTTACTGTTAAGAAAAGGGGGCTTAAAAAAAAGAAAGAAAAGGGGGCTTAGATTAGATAGAAGCTGGTGGGAGACCCCCATCTAAAGTTCCAGCCTCTGATTTCCTAGTCCAATCAACTATCCACCAGTATATTCCTTTCTGTATTATGAGACTGAGGGATTCTTGTGGTAAAGGCAGGTACCCCAGACCTTTCCTGAGAGTCCATCCAGGTGCCCCACGTTATGTACATACACGTGCCTGCACATAAAAGATCTGAGAATCTAAAAAAAAAAAAAAAAAGATCTGAGAATCTTAGGTCAGGTGGGAAGGAGAGAAAGAAGGAAAGGAAGAGGGGCCTACTGGCTCCCTCTTATTAAGAGTCTGTGTTTTCTTGCCCTTTCTCTAAGTGATTTGAGTTTCCTGATCCTTTCTCAGATCCTATACACTCTGCTTTTATGGAAGTTTCCACTGCTGTGAGTAAAGCCATCATCTTCGGTCAGTAGAGATTGTAACTATTACTAGATTTATGTTAGAGCTAGAAGGTTCTCAAGACCTTAGCTAATCTTATAAAACTCATTGTTGGAGTTGGAATCAACTCATTGCTGATCCCCCACTGGGTTTCCCAGGCTTTAAATCGAACAAGAGGAGATTGCCCATTTTTTCCTGCAGAGCTGCTAGGGGATTCAAACTGCTAGAGAGGTGCTGCATTTGAGTTAGCAACACAGCTCCCTACAGACTGTGCCACCAGAGTGGCTTGTTAGCTAATCTAGTCCCTGCACTTCATAATTGAGGAAGTAGCCCAAAGAGGGAGAGTAGGGTTTCTCCAGGTCATATGCTAGTTCAGGGCAGTACTAAGATTAGAACCTGGGTCTCAGAGCTCCTTCCAGGACATCTTAGCCTGAATCTGCACCTCACCTACAGCAACTAACTCGTTCTAGGATATACAGGCTTGAGAATGACTGTGATATCGTTTGATATTAGTGTCTAGAAAAGAGATGTCTCGGTCTTTATCTGGTGAACTACCACAGGGATTGCCTTCCAGTCTGACAGCACTTGGCCCACAACTGCTTTTGATCTCCCTGCATTTCCACATCATGGGGATGAGGTTGCTTGCTCCCTTCATCCCCAAAGATTTTGGGGCCCACAAAGGTACCTGCTCAACAGGTGACCTACATGAAGAGAATCTGGGAGAAAATGAGGCATGCAGACATCGGACTGGCCCATACCCTGAATCATACACCTCCACCCTGCCTTGGCTGTTGGGGTGTTTTTAGGTGGGACGGTGTGTTTGTAGTTCATCGGCTAACCAAAAGATCAGCAGTTTAAATAAATGAACCATTCTGAGAAAGAAAGATGGGCAGTCTCCTCCTGTTAGAATTTGTGGCCTCAGAAATTCAGTGGAGGGTCACACTGAGTTGGAATTGACTCCGTGGGACTGGGTAGGTGGTGAGGGGTGGGTAGAGGTTCTGCTGTGGTACAGAGAAAGATGAATGGTGGTACTCAGAGCATTGTGGGGAGGGGGGACACAGCTCTAGAGCCAGATGGTCTGGCTTCCTCCCAGTCCCTGCCATTTGCTGGCTGTGTGACCAGGTTATCTAACCTCTTTGTTTTCTTGTCTATAAAATGTGGATAAGAAATATGTACCTAATAGGATTGTTAAGAGCACCAAATGATTTTACTACCTATAGGGCGGGACTTCTCACACTACAACCAACAAAGCAAACTGTTGAGTCATGTCCAACTCATGGCAACCCCATGTGTTACAGAGTAGACCTGCATCTGAGGGGATTTGGGGCCATAATCTTGATAGACACAGTCCACCAGGTCTATCACAGCACTGCAGGGTGGGTTTGGCCCTCCAACCTTCAGGCTAGTGACAAAGCACTTAGCCATTTGTGCTGCCCAGGGCTCTTCTTACACCCGAGCCATCCCCTGGAGAGTTTGTTCAATGCACATTCGGACTTGGCAGGTCTGCATTTCCAGGGTGTCACTGAGAGAGCTCTGATGGCCTAAAGGTAAGCAGCTGCACAGCCATCCCGAAGGCACACTGTTCAAATCCATCCGCTGCTCTGTGGGAGAAAGATAGGCAGTTTCCTCTGAGAACCCACTGGAGGGTCAGCTAATGTGTTGGTTCCAAGTCAACGGCACAGAACAACAACAGGTGACGCTGAGGCTGCTGCTCCTTGGAACACACGCTCCATGACACACCCATGGAGAAGCAAAGCCGCAGAGCCCTCAGCAGACCCTGGCACACTTGGTCTTGTTGCTGTTGTGATCATGATTGCTTCAGTTACGTGACCTTTTCACACAGGCACCTGAGGAGGCTCAGCATTCCAGGCTGTGGCCTCTGCAGGAATCCATCTTTTCCTGGCCTCTCCCTCTGTTCCACCAGATGACCTTTGCACCTGTCCAGAGAAGCAGCTGTAGGGAGGAGGAGGAGGGAGGAGGGGGCAGCTTTCCCCAGCTGCTCTGAGGTTGAGGCTTCAGGTTTGCAGCTGAGTCCATTTTCACGCTGCTTTACTCTAACCAGATTTTGTTAAGCCGGGTGTGTTTCCTCTTTTTACTCATCTTTGTTTACAAAACATAAGGAAGCCATCAGTCTCCATGCTCACAGTCCAGCCAGGCCACCTCCTGTGGCACACCCAGATTTCCCTTCCTCTCCTAGAGTTGTGGTGGCTCCAACTCTCTGGCTTGTTTTCTAGTCAGCCCTCCGCAGGGCAAAGAGGAATGCTATAACCTTGGGCGGTGGGTGTGCTGGGGGGTGTGCTGCGTCCTCAGGTCAGCTGACCTGGGCTGTCAGTGCCCTCAGGTCAGCTGCCCTTCCCTTTCCTCTCTCTCCTCATCATTTTGTGACTGAAGGTGGACAAAAGGGGAAACCAGCATCCTTCAAGGTTGGCTGGCGGAGGTGAGAAGGCTGCTGCCCAGGAGTCTAGGGAGCCTGGGCTTCCTTTCCTCTCTTGTCGCTGATGTACTCTATTTTCCTCCCATCTGACAGCTATTTGTCTGGTGGGATTGGTGCTATGATTAAAGACAACCTAAGAGAAGGTTCCAGCTGTTCTGAGCCTTCTTGGAAACTCTCCTGCAAACCTGCCTCTGAGAGCTCCTTTTATTTCCTGTGCACCGAGGACCAGTCCTCCTGCCCTGACTGGAAAAGAGAAGACCTGTCTCTTAATGGACACAGTGCCTGCCCCTCCACAGCACCCCTCAGTCCCCTCCTGGTCTCTATTGGCCCCTGAGAAATGGTACCTGTGTGGGTGGGGCCCTGGCACCAGTCCTGGGAGCCATTGACCCCTGAACTTTGCCCCAGCTTCCCTGCCTGACAGTAGGACCTGGGATAACCTCCGGAACGTAGTGTGCATTCTTTGTTTTTGTTTTGTTTTCAAGTATGTTCTTGCTTAACGTTTAATTGGCTCCAGTCAGTAGGAAAGCGCTCCAAGAGGGATTATTTATGGCTTACTGTCAAGAGCAGCTATAAAAAGGGCAGCAGTGAGCTGGAGATGCTGGAGTGTGAGTGTCTGGGTCTCTGTGTCTGTCTGTCTGTCTGTGTCTGTGTGTGTGTGTGTGTGTGTGTGTGTGTGTGTGTGTGTGTGTTTGCACTGGATGAAATCAGATTTTTGCTGCCTCAGCAGTGTGGTTTAAATTGAAGATTAACCCTTTGACCTTCACAGTGTCAAATCACTTGCAGATGGAGGCTCTCCCCGCCTTTCCCCCCTTGTTCTCTGTGTTACTTTGGAGTAGGGGGGAGAAGAGGGGGCACGTCTTCTCTTTCTCTCTGAAGAAAGTTTGTTGTTCATGCAGCTGAGGTTTGAGGGGCTCAGGAGCCAATCTGATTAAAAGCAGCACTTGGCTAAACTCTGGAAAATCCTGCAAGCAGGGGAAAAGTTTAATCCTCTTGTGCACTGCTCATAAAGAGCCTGGTCTTTTCTTTTTCATGTTAAAACTGCTTGTTTTAGGAGAACCCTTTCTCCTCTTCACCACATCTTTCTTCCCTCCTTCCTCCTCCTCCCCTTTAGCCCCCCAGACCCTTTTGCTGTGCTGATAGGATTAACATGCCAATCCCAGGAAATGTAGATCTGAACTTTTATTGGAAATGATGAGGAGTCCCGGAAGGTTGTGTTTGAGAATTATGTTGATTTGGGTTTTTTCCCCCTTTCAGCACCAGCAGAACCGAAATCGTGCCTGGTGGCAGATCCTCCTCTTCCTACACAACCTTGCTTTGAATGGAGACGAGAACAGGAATGGGGCAGGTCTCAGGTGAGACTGGGCTGCCCTCTTCACATGGGGCAGCACCAGCCAGAACAGCAGGACATCGGGGAGGACTGACACTGTGTCTTGTGAAGTTGTTTTTTTTGGTTATTGCTGTTTCATATTTTTATTTTTGAAATTTTTTTCCCCCTATGTGTACATAAGACATGTCCAACTGGGACCTTCTTTTCCTGTTCAAGGCCTCAACCAGGGACGGGGGCCTTTGTCAAACACTGTTGAAGGCAAGGCTGATGTGTCTGTGATGGTGGGACTTCCTGCAGGCTTTGACAAGTAGATACTTCAGGCATCAGTTGAAGATGACCAGTTAGTGATGTCCTCCAGGGACGGAACTGTAACTTTTCCCAAGAAACTCTGTTAAGTAAAAGGACTCTCAGTTCCACCAGACCTATCAGTCTTCCACCATGGATGGAGACCATCTGTGATCTCAGTGGTAACACCGCTTCACCCCACCAGGGCCTCAGCCAGGAGTTCTCCAGCTGAGTATGGCAACTTCACTAGGCTGGTCAGACAGCTCCACATCAGCCAGTGCCCACCTCATGGGCTCAGGGATTCTTGCCCAGCCCCTGTCATCTCCAGCAGACCTCAGGGAGGATTGGGTTTCTCCAAAGACCCTTCAAACGTGCTGTCAAGTGAACCAAACTTCTGAGTAGACCTCAATTCTGACCATGTCTTGCTTGGAGGCCCCATGATTGGTCCTAAGGTACAGAGCCACTGCCACTTCTGGCGGCCTAGGACCACTGGGTGTCAATCAGGAATGCGCTGAATAGCCAATCATCATGCTGTAGCAGCAGCTTGTGCCTTTTGTTAGCACCTCTTTCAAAACACCCAGTCACTCCACTGTACTCTATGCCCTGTGGGCCATAAAGGGACTGGTTTGCAGTGGATCTGGGAAATGTGGTGCTGTCTTACCTACAAGTAAAAGTCAGCCTAGAGGAACTCAGACCCCTTGCTTTCCTTGGAAACAATGTACCTCCTCCTCACCCCTATTCCTTTTTCACACCTAGTGGCATACAGGAAGAAGCCAGGACAGTGGCTTCGTCAGCTGCAATGTGTCTTTTAGAGTAATGGACAATGTGGAACTGTCAAAGCTGGGTGCACGTTTCCACTCTTCCTCCAGCTTCCAGGATGGCCAGAAAGGCAAGTTCTGGAACTCAGCAGGAACACAGCTGCCTGTGAGCCACTTCTTTCTTTCCCCGCTGTGGCACTAATGGAGGGAATTGAAAGCAGCCTGTCTGGCAGGTCTGATAGGAGGCCTATCTGAACACACACAGGGGAGCTGTTAGCCAGACATCTAAGAATTAAATTATAGTTTCTGCATTTCTAAGAAAAGACATCATTGGTGCTAAAGATGAAGCAAGGGCCAAAGAAAATGTGGCTTCCTTGAGCAGAGAAGATCCCAGGGCTACCCAAGGAAAGCAGAGGAAGAATCCAGAATGAACTGTCCAATCTGAACAAGCCCAAGCTCCTCTGATTCTGCATAGAAGAGGTCTTCAGTGCTGCCAAAGGGACATTGATCGTGATGTGTAGTGGGGCAGGTGGTTCACTGTACAAGAGCACAGACAGAGGGAGCCAGTGGAGGCTGAAACCCAGCCTGTGCATTGCTCACTAAGTCATATGCCAGGTTCTGCCTGGAGGAAGGGGTGCCTTTCCCTGTTGAACACAGAGGTGCCACGTGGACTCACAGTGGCTCTGAGAGGCCCTCAAACTGTATGAACATTAGTTTTGTTCGGCTTGGATATTCTGGAGGTGTTACCTCTTTTTGGCCAGAATTCAATTCTCAGGGTGTGTACCATGATTTGTCTGCTATGAAGGTGGGTTCCTACTTAGAAGGAGAAGGAGCCTAGGGAACAGGCAAGAAAACTGGCTCTGGGGCACACTGACCATTGTGAAGGCCAGCTTACCTGCATGCTTCCTCACCCTTTTATGATATATATGTAGGAGCTAGGCTGTGACAAGCAGGTTGCTTGGATGGTGCACACAGGAAACCAAGATGACTTGTACTGGCCACTTTGAAGGCCGCTTTCCACCTTCGACACATGAACATGCATATATGTGTGACAACAAATGGCCCATGTCTTGGTACTGAGATGTCACCGTCTGCTTCAGAAACCTTGACAGGCCCAGACTGGATTTCCTGTGGCCTGGCCCAAGGACTGAACCTCGAGTTTGACAAACCCATTGAACATTGAATCTAGGGCCAGGTAGAGGGTAGTCTGACTGCACTGTCCATCCATGTGAGGCCAGGAACTAATACACTTATTAGTCAAGCCAGGGCAAAATTTAAGGTGTCCGCCTATCCTGAACAGTAGACTAGAGTATATGACAAATGATGAGGATGGCATAGGATAAAGTTCAAGGTTCAGATCCATTGTTCATGCGATTGTTATGAGTCAGAGTTGACTTGAAAGCATCTAACAACTATTCTTATTCCCCTTGCCCCTCCTCCAGAAACACATATACAACCGCCAACCCCCATTCACCCCCCTGGGGAAAAAAAATAAAAAGAAGCCAGGTGGTAGTTGGCAGAACAACTTCAGGAGGGAGACAGGTTCCTGTCGCTGGTGGTTTAACTGGCCCAATCCTCATTACTGGTCCTTTCGCCGCTCAGGCCTGGTGAATTGGCCAGAACATCCCTGCCTCTGGAGACTTCCCTGGAGTAGTGGGAGGACGTGCTGCTCCTATACCAGGAGGTTAGCTGTCTCCCCATTAGGGAGTGGGGAGCAAGTTTAGAGAGAGGGAGAGTCTGACTGGGGTCTTGACCTGTAACCAGCTGAAGATAGGTGTTTGTGACTTGCTAGGGTAAGGATCCAGGTTGAGAGGGACAGGAAACTTCCCTACCCAGAGGAAGGGAAGCCTCTCAGAGTCATGGTCAAACAGACTTTCTAATTCAGAATCTCCAGGGAATTCTCTAGAAGCCAGTAGACAGAGCTGGGGAGGAAGTCCCCAGGGATGGAC